CTGAAAGTTATACATATAATGACAAACTTCTTTGTTTTATCAAATGTAAAATTTAAATTTCTTTTACAATAGATCGCGGCTTCGACCGGTACCCTCAGAAACTGCCTGACTACCCCAGAGCTGTGCCTGTGTCGGAGAGAAATGACTGTGAAATCATTGTGGTGTCAAAAGCTCTAACGTAAGTTCTTTTTATTTAAAAAAATTAAATATGTATTTAATGTTTTTAGATATACCTACGAGGGGCGGCTGAAAAGTTTTGAGCCTAAGTATCTTCAAGTGCTATTATTGACTCGCTTTAAATTTATTTAATTTGCCAATAACCTCCTTAGTATATGAACAAAGTTTCATTTCATTAGCGTCATCACGCTTTTAGTAATTAATCAGTAAACATCATCATGTCTCAGTCATCCGCGCAATGTACGAAATCGAAGTACACAGTTGTCATAAAACTCCTCAAAAAGAGGAACAAAACGCTGACGGTAACATTTGAAGAGATGTCTACAGTTTATGGGGAGTCTGGGCCTTCATTTGCCATCATGAAATATTGGATCCGATAGTTCAAGCATGGCAGGGAGTCTCTAAAAGATGACCGCAAGTCAGGGCGGCCAGATTTCGCCATTAACGAATAAAATAATGAAAACTTAAAAAATCTTGCTTTAGAGATCAGCGAATTAAGTTGTGACAGATAGCTGAAGCCATAGGCATTAACAAAGAACGTAACGGCGATATTTTTCATACTCATTTGCACATGAAATAGGGGTGCGCGCGATGGGTGCCAAAAATGCTCTCGCCGCTCGACAACCAGCGTCGAGTCACAACTTCGCAGGAGTTTTAGGACATCTTTGACCATAATCCTAACAAAATTTTTTCTCACATTATCACTATTAATAAATAATAGATCCGGCAGTACGATCTAGAGTCAAAATAAGAGTCACTGCAATGGATTCAAAAGGGAAAACGCCGCCGCGGAAATTCAAAGTGGAGCGATCGACACCCAAGCTCATAGCCACTATTTTTGGGATTGTGGAGGAATTTTATTCATTGACTACCTACTTAAAAAAAACTACAATAAACGGGGATTATTATGCTGTACTGTTGATAGGAGTGCGTCAAGTGGTTGTTGAAATATTAAGAGGCAAACTGGCGAAAGGAAATCTGTTACTGCAAGACAATTCAACCGCGCACACCGCGCATGTTGCATGGCTTACCCCGGGTAAAACTGTATTTTAAGAAATTAATCACCCACCACACAGTTTAGTCCGATTCTCTAGCTATTTTGTCTAATTCTCAAATTGGAAAAAAGACCTCCAGGAACGAAGATTTTTGAGTGACAAAGAAAGGAAGGCGGCGTTAAAGGCCCATTTCGAAGGCAAAGATTGCGAATTTTTTTTCAGTGGGTTAAAAGCTCTTTTACGCAAATGTAAGAAGTCCGTTGTAGTAGAGGGATATTAAATAGAAAAATAAATTTTTTACACTCTCCTATCGGCATTTTTAATACCCTAGGCTCAAAACTTTTCAGCCTCCCCTCGTATTAAAAGTTAACAAAGAGTTGGCATTGACGCGCAATAGATACAGTCAGCGTCAAATTGTTTGTGACAACCAAAGTGACCAAAAAGTTGACAACACAACCGTATTCCGATTGATAACAAAGAAGTGTTGCGATCTTTTGGGTAATTCGGGTGTGACGAACTATTTGACATTTGACTGTATTTAGTGATATCAGACTTTACATTTAATAAAAATAGCTCGTATTACAAATGCGTAAGATGCAGAAATGTTTCAGCTTGTGTGTCATTAGTTAGATACCTAATAAGAATAATTCTTTTACAGCGAATACGCGGAATACATCGAAGGTCGGCTAAAGCATCTAGGCATCGTAGTCGACCTCCTGTTCCCGATGGAAGATGTCCCCATCGGGAAGGTACTAGGCAACATAGCGTCGAGAGGCTGCCTCTACGCCATACTAGTCATGCCGCAGAATCAGGAGCACAGATCAATGACCTTGACCATACTACACGGGTTACCGCAAGGTAAAACATGCATGCTCTTACTCTTTTACTCATGTTGAACTTGTATTTATTTATTCATCTCTTTGCTCTGTATGTTTTTGAGTGTAGTAAATAACTAAAATCCATCATTGACCACAAGAGAAGTCAAATCTCAAACAGCTCGATTTTCAAAAAGATGGCAGCACGCCTTCGACACCTAGTGGCGCTTTACAGTGTCTACGACATCAAACTTAGCCAGAAGGCGATAACTTGATGTCGAACTTAATTTGGCCCGGTTTCCACCAAGGTTGAAAGGAGAGATGTGTTTTGAAAAACTAATCAGATTTCGCTATTTCAATTTCCTCTCCGGCCAGCTTCGCTGGAAATGTATCGAGCGGAAAGATGTGCCGAGAGAGATAGGTCCGGTGGAGCGACCGTCGTTTTCGTGCACCATCCCATTATCCGCTAACTTTTCGCAGCACCTTGTATACCCGAAAACGTTATTTGGAGCTCTCACAGCTCACAATATCTTCGCTATGCACAGCTGACATCTCTTCTTTACTTTGGTGAAAATAACCTCTATCTTCGTAGCACAATCTCTCTCTAACAATAAAGTATAATCATTGCACAGCTCACGTCTCTTCTTCACTTAGGTGAAAATAACCTACTACCTTCGTGGCAAAATCTATCTCTAACAATAAAGTATATTAATCATTCCTCAGAACATCGCAACATGCCAATAGAAGACGCTCTCCAGCTGGTCTCTCGCAACTTCCAAGAGGTGCAGCGCGGCGGGCCGGCCGGGCGCGAGGCGGTGTACGCGCTGCTAGGACAGCTGGCCGACGGCCGCGCGCTCACCGTCATGCAGTACGACAAGGTCATCGAGTACTTGCAGGTGCGTTGTAGCCATCATCAGGCCATAACATGCTGATAGTCATAGAGAGATAGATGCAGCTAGTGTCGCGCGTGTTTCTTCAAGAGGCGTAGCTTAGGGGTCCTCCAAGGCAGTACACTGGAACTAGTAGTGTAATCAAGGGTTCCCCAAGGCTCTACACTGCTACCATCTCGCACAACTTCCAGGTATGTTGTTGTAGTCAACATCATCATCAACTCTCCTTAGTTAGATGTTAGAAGACGCGCTCCAGCTAGTATCGCGCAACTTCCAAGAGGTGCAGCTTAGGGGTCCTCTAGGGCTGTACACTGGAACTAGTAGTGTAATCAAGGGTTCCCCAAGGCTCTATACTGAGACCGTATCGCGCGCGCTTCAGCTAGTGTCACGCAGTTTTCAAGAGCTACAAAGTGGTCTACTCCAGGGCTGTACACTGGAACTAGTAGTATAATCAAGGATTCCCCAAGGCTCTACACTGAGACCGTCTCGCAACTTCCAAGAGGTGCAGCGCGGCGGGCCGGCCGGGCGCGAGGCGGTGTACGCGCTGCTAGGACAGCTGGCCGACGGCCGCGCGCTCACCGTCATGCAGTACGACAAGGTCATCGAGTACTTGCAGGTGCGTTATAGTCATCATCAGACCATAACATGCTGATAGAAGACGCGCTTCAGCTGGTGTTTTATAAGAAGTGTAGCCTAGGACTCTAGTAATATAATCAAGGTTTTACACTGGGATCGTCTCCCGTAACTTCCAAGAGGTGCAGCGGGGAGTGAGACAAGGTTGCAGGTTAGTTATAGTTAATCATCATCATCAGGGGGCGACCCTCACACTCTGGTTAGGTTAAGTTGCCTCTGCAAAAGGGATTTGGCCTAAATCCTCACGCTGTCAAGACGGATTAAGAAGACCAGACCAGAAGAGTGAGAGTGGTACTAGATAGGTGGAAGTTAACTTGCAGATTTTTATTGTAATTTGTTTGCCCTACCTAACGTAAGTGAATTACCTAAATTCAGGCTCGTATTTAAAACTTGAAACTCGGTTCTAACTCGAACACAGATTCAAATGTAACCGATTGAATTTCAAAATTAAGATCAACCATAGCCTTGATCGGTTCAGATTCAGTCTTTTACCGCCTTTTGTAATAAATAACATTCCACAGGAGCGTCGTGCGCAGCAAGTGAAAATCGAGTTAGGCGAGCCAACAACCCCAGCGCCGACGCAAAACAAAGCGTCAGTGGACCTCCAGCAAAGAATCCTCAGTATCCTCAACGATAAGAAGGTGCTTCCCGCCGTCACGCCGCCGACCCCGCCGCCCGCCGCGCCCGCCGCCCCCGCTGATAACAAACTACTCAGCGACCCGACCGTCAAAAAGGCATTAGAATCCATACTGCAAAAGTTCACGTAATGAGGGCTATCGTTTTAGCGCTCACCAGTTGGCGCCACTGTAGAGTAAGGTCCTGTCACTTGCTAGTCGCGAAGACAGTGGCGCCAACTTGTGAGCGCTAAAGTGGTAGGAGGACTATCGCATTTGCACTCATCAAGATGGCGCCACTGTAGAGTAAGGTCCTGTCAATCGCCAGGGGTGCCAACTGTTAAGTATAAAAACGATAGCCCTCATTGTAAGCCATGTACACAAACCTATATTGGAGTAACCCAGTTCTCGTTTAATGACTTACTTGACTTAAGGTCCTATGTCCCCTAGATGGGGCAGAGGGCGTCCACAACAGTCCTCCATCGCGTTCGGTCTTGAGCTTCGCGTTTGATCTCGCTCCAAGTCTTGCCGATCTTCTTCGCCTCGTCTGCCACAGTGCGCCGCCAAATTTGCCTGGGGCGACCACGTTTGCGTTTTCCTTTGGGTTTCAATACTTCCAATCCAGAGCCTGCTTGGGGATGTGATCGGGATCCCGGGAATACTTGTGTGAAATATTTAAACTGTATTTCTGGCGATTCCTGATGGCCGTGAATGTGATGAACCATAAACAAGAACTAAGAGGTGAAGTCATCCTTTTTGTCTATGGTTTATCAAAAATTTTGTTTTTTTTTTGTGGAATATAAGACCAATGAACTTTTGCAGTTTAGTGCAATTAAAAAACGACTGAAATAGACTGAACTGTCCTAGAAATCTTAAAATTTATTCAATTCAAATTGCTAGGGCCAAATATCAATCAATGTCAGTTGACCTAATGCACGTTTGCCAAGGTTTATTAGTGCACTGTTTAATGTATATTTTATGAATATTGGTCAATTTACCATTCAAAATTTTATTAATCTGATTCGACACGCAATGTATGTACTTCAATATAGGTATGTGGCCATGTATCTTATTTAAGTTTAGTTCGTAAGTAGTTAGTATAATTATTTTGAGTCAGTAATTTGATATTTGAATCAGATAAGCCCACCGATGTCAAATAGCAGGCAGCAAATACATAAATTTATTATAAGTTATGAAGTAGAAAGAAAATGTCTAAATAATGTTCCAAATGTGGAATATTCCTCTTTGTTCACTTGGGTGAAGAAAGTAGAACTTTTGTTACAATGTATATTATGTATTAGTCAAAAAAAGGTACACTATTTTACGTCACTGACTTTGTTGGAGCTGTGCGATTCGAATAATCAATTACTGACTGACTCTGTTAAGAAGATAAATGTTAAGGTAATTTACAGTGATTCTGTGACCCAGAGCAATAACTTCATATGGGAAAGAATCACTAGTATTGACTTGATAAAGATTAAATGTGCGTACTCCAGTACGAATGTTGAAGTCGATCATCATTCATGAGTCTCCGAAAGAAAGAATATGAAATGTGAACTATAATTACGAGCAAAAGTATGGAATCACCCACATACGTTTTGTTTCGAGCAATCTAAGAACTGAATGCCTATGCATGTATCTGTATCAATTTAAAGTATATAATATTACCTTTAAAATGCTACTATTTTTATCTTCTATTAGTCATTTAGTTCTTACGATCATTCGGAACAAATAGGATGATTCCATACTTTTGCTCGCGAGTGTAGTATTAGGTCTCTTGCATTGTTTAATAGACTCAATTTAGAAAGTAAAATTCGCCCTATTTAGTTAATTTTGTGACACCATTATTTTTAGCATTTAGAATATTGATAAATGATTGATAACAATAGAATCGTAAGATGTTGTGCCTCAATAAAACTTCATGTACCTATATTAGGTATAGCAGTTATACTAAGCAATATGAAAAAAAAAAGCTTCCAATTCACAAGTCTGAAACCCTTATAAATATAAAAATTGTTCAATACGAAATGGTGTCAAAATTAACTACTCCATTTATTTAGCTGTAAGATAAATTTCAATAGAGACCTATGTCGTACAAGGATGTATGCATTGATTTCTAATAAGTAAAAATAAAAAACTAGCAAATACATATTCAGTTTTATTCAATAAGTTCATACATTTAATTAGAGGTGGTCTAAGTCTCAGCAGAGCGAGCAATTCATTGGTGATGTGAAATGACAAACAGTGCTATTTAGTTTTTTTATTTTTTTATGTACACACACGAAAGTAATTTCACAAGTACTAAAAACTAACATTCTTGTATACTGTACACAATGTCAGAGTTGGATCACTTATATCTGAAGTTACTGATTATTATTTATGGGGTCTCTACAACATTCAAAGCGGAAAAATATTTTTTTTCGTCACTTTATGAGAATCAAAATATGTCTACATGCAAATTGATTTGAAGGTGTCTTAAAATTCTTATCTTTAATATAAAATATAATAGGATACTACATGATTGTTGACAAAATAAAGCTGTCATTGGTACACCGCCAGCGGTGGAGAGCTTATGTACCTACCGATTTGCGGGAGATCACTAAAGTCCCTTTATATAAAAATATAACTGTATGTACTACGAACCAAATATCCAGCCTAGTAGAATGACATTTATCACGAATTTCTATGGCATACAATACTTTTAACGTCAATGATTTATAATATTGAATATTCAATTCAGAACTTCCCAATGAGATCAAGGCCCTGCGTCTTAGATTTTCAAAGCTTCTCTTTAAAAATCCCTATTTACCATTCTAGAAGTTATTAGCTATACAAGATATATAATAAACTAGGATAATATTAGGAATATCCACATCTTACTCTATATAAACATTTCCACAACGCCCTTACTACTACAGCGACTAAATGCCACCACACACCCATCGGACTCCATAAAGCTATCTATTTGGAAGAATTTGGTGTCAATCGAGAGTTCGATAGGTGAGCGCGATATTTACAAGGGATCAGTCAACCATGACTACACCGCCGGCACACTGCAGGCGCGCTTACAATCCTTTAAAATTCGTCAGCAACATTACGATGATCTTTCCGAAGGGTCCTCTTGCTTCGAGGGGTCGAAACCTTCTTTGATGTGTCCACCCGTGCCCTTGGGGTCCAAGTCTGTGGCCCAACTGAAGTGCATCAAAGCTAAGTGTGTATTGCCTAATTTATTGTGAACTTTGCCAAGTAAATAATAAACTAATGATTCTCTTGGAGCGATGTCTTTCAAATAATGAAGATCAGCTAATGCATCCTGCGGCCTGCCCGCCCGTAGAAGGACCGATGCTCGATGGAATCGGCAGAGTGGATTCTCCGTGTCTAATGCGACAGCTCGTTCGAGGGTAGCCAGAGCACGGTCGGTTTTGTCCAGAGCGGCTTGCGCCAAACCAAGCTGACACCTCAATACTCCAGAATGCGGGTGTATGCTAAGCGCACGACGTATGTGCACTTCAGATTGTTTCCAGCGCTCCTGCCGCGCGTAAACCGTGGCTATACCGAACCAGGCCACGTAATTCCGAGGATCAATGCTGACCGCAGTCCGGAAGCTTGCCAAAGCTTTATCAGTCTCTTCAGCTACTGCATACTCGTGTCCCAACAACGCATGCGCATACGCCGCGTCCCCATCGATCTGAACAGCTCTCTTGAAGAATTTGAGCGCCGTTTCGCGTTCTTTGTGAAGTGAAAAACAATTGCCAGCTGCTAACCAAGCAATGGGGTCAGTTCTATTCAATTCTACTAATTCTTGAGCTAAAGCTGAAAGTTGTGCCTCTCGCTGTAAGTGCCATAAACAGGTACTGTAAATGTCCATTCCCTCTGTGCGACATGGGTATTGTTTCCGTATTTCAGAGAATATTTTTGCAGCTGCTTCATACTGCGCTAGTTCGTAATGAGCGCGCGCGATCATCGTCTGCACCCACGGCGAAGCCAACTGTTTAGGCGTCGCGTCTTGGAACAATTTGATAGCACTTTTACAATCAAGAAAAGCAAGTGCTTTATATGCGTCACCTAATTCCTTCAATACATTCAATAACGCTACACCATTGGAATTCTTTGGCGTAAGTGTAGGAGTGACATCCATGCTTTTATTCCTATCGTTTGAGTCAACTGAATTTGTTTTCATGTTTTTGGCAGTCCTTTGTTTATTTTTTCTAGATGGGCTTTTGGGAGCCACAAACTTTCTGCTGGGCGATTTGTTGTTCTCCTTTACCGAGTAACTGCTATTATTATTACTAAACAGCCTGGACGACCGGCGAGGAGCTGGTCCAAGAGTACACCTAGGAGCAGGACTGAATACTGCGTCTTTGAGTTGGCCCATTTGTGCTCGTAATGAATTAACTATCTTCGGTATAGCTTTTTGCTCATTAGAATCGGTGAGTGTTGGCGTATATAATACAGGAGATTCTTCCATTGGCAACATGCCAAATGAGGGAGAGAATGGTATGGGCGCCATACCACTGAAAACGCTATGCATTCGTTTTACAGGTGCTTGAGTCTCTGGAGTAATACTTGATGACATAGTCATTGGCGTCCTAGGAGCCACATTATTTGGTGTGACATTGGCATTCAAATTAGAATTATTATTAGGAATGTTAGTGTTGACGAATGAAATATTTTCAGAGTTGCTGACTAGATTCACTAATGTTGATACACCAAATGTGAATTCAGTGTTACTTAAATGAAACACTTGATTTGTATCAACTTTTTCACCCATGTTACATAGTTGGGCGAATGATTTCCACATGAATGGATTGAGTGATAGTGCTTTCCGGTGCGCTTCAGCTGCTTTACTCCGCCGTTCTGTGATGTTGTATACCTTAGCTAGAAGCTGCAGAGCATATGGTGCTTGGTCACCGAATTCTGAAGCGACAATGTCTAGATTTGTTCCTAATGCAACTTCAGCATCTTTGTACCTGAAACAAAAATAAAATATTGTTACAAGTTAAATTTTAAGAACCATATTCACAGAACTAAATATTTTATTTCATTTAACCCGGCGTCAATGACGCTGGGTCATATTGACCCGAGGCATTTTCAAACGTTCATAATTTTTTTTTGCGTCCATTTTGTGGTTCGAGCGTTCGTATAGCTGGAGATAGAACCTCCCTAAATCCATTCCGTTAGTTAACGTATTGTGACTCCGCTTGCGTAGCGAGATACACAGGCTTCAAATTAAAACGGGTCATTATGACCCGGCGTCATCGGTGGCGCGGTGATTTTGTCACTTACTTTTATTCGCTTATTTTGTGTTTAGTGCTAGCTTATGTTGTTCTTTTTTAAGTTTTAGTCAAAATGTCTTTGTTAAATGACCCAGCAAGAATGTAGCGTTGCTGGAAGAGTCGGATTCCGAGATTGAAGAATTTCAGGCTGTAATAGCCAGAACTTAGAAATGGCAACGAATGTGAAAAAGACGCAAATAATGGGGACTCAGTGTTCGGATAATCTCGAACTTGCATTAGTACGACACCGGCAAGTGCGTCATGCCACATTTACATGCCCAGACCATATGATTACATACTGCACCAGTTGCAGCAGTTCCATGGCTCTGAATGATGAAGTAGAAGACTGATCTCAAAGTATCTGCATATAAAAAGTTGATTTTATCTCTTTTTCACTATATAACATTGTTGATTCCTATTAATACTAAAAATCTTTACCAAAAACAAAAAAAATAGACTCAAATGTGTTTCAAACATGTTTTTTTCATGTTTTGTTTAAAAATTCATAAAAAAATATTTATTTCATGCATTCGTTTTATTTTTGTTTTATTAGCTCAGTAAAGAACCCTATAAATATAGACAGTAATTAAAATTAAGCTTACTTGTACAAAATCCTAAAAAATGATCGATAAAATGTGGGTCAATATGACCCGGGGTCATCGTCTTTGCAATTATTTTCACGTCATTGGCGCCGGGTTAAAACAACTTAAGTTTTTATTATAAGTTAAACGTTTTAAAAGGGTTGCCATGGGGTGATAGATAGATGATGTGATAGGTCACTAGGTGATGATAGATGTAGGTGATATACGTTTCATAGTTATAGAGGAAAGCTAGGCCTGCTACTAAGGTACTAATTATTTTTGTTTGTAATCATCCTTCTTAAAAAATAATGAGAGTACTGCAGTACAACAACACATGCATTACCCCTAAGCATTAGTAATGGATGATAACTTAATGTATTGGTTCCCAAAGTGGGGGGCGCAAAGACCTTTAAAAGGGGGCGCAGGCCAACTGTAAGAAACCTGTGACCACTGAGAGAATGCATTCCAGACTGCTCGATACGAATTTTACACATAATACAATAAGACAAGACCAGTTTTACACATAACTTGTTTTTATGCAACTTATCAAGACTAGAATTGTACCTATTGCCTTTTTATATTTACACACCCCCACACACATTTAGAAGAGAATCAACAAGTTTTCAAGTTGCATGTTGTAATTACTAGAATATTTTGTTCGAAACTGATTTTCTAAAACAAATATCTATAACAATCATTATGAATGTAAGAAAAGATGAAGAATATTAAAACATACAGTGCAAACTATAAATAAATAATTTTGGCATAGTCATGTGAAATACTTACGATTTTAAGTCTATTGAACATTTGGCTAGCAAAAACCTAGATTGTGGTAATGACAATGATGTGTTTTGTAGCAAATGATGGGCCTCATTCACACGTCCAGCTCTATAGTAGCATGTTCCCAACAAGAATGATGTTTCCTCTGATGCCACTGGAATTTAACAAATCGACACATTAGACAACGAACAGAGCTAAATAAGAATTACATCAAAGCGAAATTATTTTAGAGAAAACCACGGAAAAATCAATAACAGCTCAATCACAGGTGGTAACAATCATCACCTTGATACTTTGAGGGTAAGAAATCGAATTATTTATTACCTTCAGCATGTAATCTCTCAGCCAAAAATATAGCATTGTCGAACTCATAATTATTGAGACAATCCCAAACGATAACCTGTAGGGAAAATAAATGCATAATTTAGACAAAACTCTAGCAAAAACCCAAATCAATCACTGACAGTTCGTCGAGTAGGGGTTGGTGATCACCTGTATGGGTTCTTGAACAATCATCTTGAAACTATTTAACACTTGTAGGATTGTAAATACTATAAAATATTTCACATCGCAAGCTACGATAATTAATTACACATTCACAAAGTAAATTAGAACGTATCTTTTACGACGGACATTTTCATTTTCAGTTTGTTGATTGTCTATGGCGGATGAATGTTACGAAAGCAGTGGTGAGTGTTGCCTGAACTAAAATGCATAGAGAAAAGTAANTTATTTTTATTATTTTGTAATTATATCACACCTAAATTGATCCTATGAAAACCATCCTTTGTTCCGTTTCCATCCGTAATTGATTCGTTTCCCTACCTTTTAACTTTAACCCAATCCCACCCAGTCTAAACGCAATGTCCGCAAAACTTATGGCAAAACTGAACGCAAAAATCAAGAACCCTGTCGTGGCTAAACGCAATCCGCGAGAGCCATAAAGAAAAAAAAAAAAAAGTATTGGAATTTATCGACTGAAGTCGCTGTTTGGAAGCAAGTTTGATCGTAGTATGGAAGTTTCCGTACCCTGCTAAAATGTAGCTGCCAAATACTAATATAGATGACCCACGCTGAACTGTCCCACCAAACTCAATGACAGGGGGGCGCTACCATCGTTCGACTATATGGTTTCCAACATGGCAAAAATCGGAACCAGCGATCCGGTATGGACGGTGGCGCCCCACTGTCAATGTCATGCATAGGACAGTTCAGTATTTTGGAACTATACGTCGCACTAGTCGAGTAATTTAGTCGAGTTTATTAACCATTAAGTACTTAACCATTAAGAGTTTATTAACCACTTGCCCACACCCATGCACGTTCACGAACACTCAATGGTTAATAATCCACCATTATTATAGCCTGACCAGGAACATAAAAACCCTGGCACAGAGGCGCTTCAATTGCATTTGATAGTGCAACACTGAGTACAGTCGTACATGTGTTAAATTAATAGGCTAAATTTATGTTTCAGGATTCAGGATTACGGGCTAATTTGATATTTTCATAAATTAACGAAAAATATTATTAAAGATAACCTGGTTTAAATAAATTAAATGAAACCATCAATCGAGCTAGTAGGATTTATTTTATTATTCATCAATAATCAAATTCAGAACATGAATATTCAACTGCAATGTCTGCTCATGAACGCTTCAAACTCGGTACTTCTTTCCCAATTCCATAAAATTCAAAACTTAGAAAGTAACAAAAAACTTTAAAATAGGTAGTTGAAACAGACTACAGCTAATTTTCATAGTGGACTGTACCATACGATAAACATGTCAGTCAATTTGACAACCTTTGTCGGAAACATTAATCAATGAAAATATTGTCCGAACCCTTAGTATTTCTATTCGAAAAATACATTATAGTCTTTTTCACGTAAGATGATCCGTATGACACTTCAAGGTTATCCATATTACGCATACTACATATGCAGAATATTTTTGAAAAAATGTTTGTATTTTATTAGCAATAAAATAAATAAAAAATAACTACTTGTCTTGAAATATATAGTAAAATCTGAGTCTATTGATTATATTTTAATTAAATACGATGTAAAAATGTTTTTTATTTAATGTACGCAATGTGTGAAACGGAATAGATTTAGTGCTGGGGTATTTCTTGTATAATAAAATCGATTATTTCCGTGGTTCATTAATCGATTGCAGTGAATACTTAGTTATTAAAAATATCACAAAAATCAACTATATTTTTCGATTATTGACTGTAATAAACGCATTGAAAATAAATTAATAGTTTTTAATTTAAAGAAACAGAACCAGTACTTTTTAGGAATCGTTTTTTTGAACACGAACCATGAAATTTGAATATTATCAATAAATTGTTACAATAATATTTGTAATTAAAAAAAACATGTTTTTTGTTAAATAACACCTATACAAAATATTTCTCTAAAAGTAGGTTTTACTAACTCTTCGAAAAAAATCGATAGATAAATCGCTATGGTTTAGTTATGTGACATCTCTAAATCTTTCAAACTCGAAACGTCATACGGATCATCTTAGGTGAAAAAGACTATAACACATCGTGAACCACTTTTCTTTCACGACTATAAAAATATTTTAGCAATTTAATTCACAAAATCAATTGCACACATTTAAAATAAAGTTTGTTTACACTTTGACAACCACAGATATGGATAGATGCAGCATGTGTCAAAAATTGTATGAAGCCGAGCGTGCCACTTTTTAAACGTCATTAGTGTCATTTTAGCGAATTTTAGTGATTGCCGCAACGTAAAAGTAATCGTATCATCGTACTGCATTCGCAAAGTCATCGAAAGATATCGTATGAATCGATTCGAAAATTAATTAATTCCGATAAAACTGATATTTTGCTAAAGGACAATGACCAAAAGTGGTCCAAATGTCCACCGCTAATTAGACCTATATTGGCTTATAGTCCATTCAATAGAGATTAACTTTCAGTATGGGACGAAAAAAAAATAAGCCGTCAGTAAAAAGTTATGACCGTATGAAAAATTGTAGTAGTTTACGCGCTAATCTCAGGAACTACTGGTCCGATTTGAAAAATTATTTTTGTTATGGATTTGATATTTATCAAGGATGGTTTTAGATTATATAACATCACCCTATAACCAATAGGGGCGGAGCAGCGACCACCCGACCATAATTCCAATATTGTTGTCTTTCTGAGCTTATTTTTTTTTCTTTTAGCGAGAATCTAACACGGCACACTAAGCGACATGACATAACATGCATAGATCAACCCAAAATGTGCGATGGATAGAATGATTTTAAGAACATTTTTCGGATAAAAAGGTAAAAAACATGACTTTTCATTCAGTCATAACTTTTTACTGACAGCATATTTTTGATTGCGGTTTGGTTATATAATGAATCAGTATTTAGTAGACTATTTTACTACATAGGTCTCGTTAGTGGTGGACATTTGGACCACACTCCATACATTTTTGGTCATTGTCCTTTTGCCAATACGTTTTCATTCATATAAAGCTAAGTCAGGTACCTAGTTTTGAAGATATTTCTAAACGACAAAATCCAGTGCCGTCATATACATAGACGTATACCTACTGCGATCACAGACCTAACTTCTTGATTTATTTGTTACTAGCTGACCCGGCGAACTTCGTACCGCCTTAGCGTAGAGATTTTCTTAATATTTTTTTCCGTAAGAACCATCCTTGGACTTCCACAAACATTTAAAAAAAAGAATTATCGAAATCGGTTCAGCCGTTCACACGTGATGCCGTGACAACGCGAAATGGGTTTCATTTTTATATATATAGACTTGTGCTGTTAATTACAATTCTCAATCCGTAAATAATTTCTTCTTTCTACTGTGTTCGTACTACTGTCCTCGTAAAATCATCGTAACCGATTGTTGTAATCGGATTACATGAACATCACTCGACCATGTATGTCCATTTGGACATATCGGAATGGCACGCTTTGACGAGCAACTTGCTGCATCTACTCTAATCCATATCTGTGTTGACAACAATAGACTGACATGCAAGGTGACATGTCAATGAAGTTTTCAGTTACTGTTGCCATTAAAAGAAATTAGTACCATTAGTTTTCCGCAACATGGCGAGGGTTTTTATGTTCCTGGTCAGGCTATACACATTAATAGTCGCCCACACACGAATTTGAGGAAATAAAACAAAACCGCTAACATGACGCTTCAGATTCCCGCCAAGAAGTACGGTTCTTATTTCATCTCGGAACCATTTCACCCAGACTAAATAAAGTAAAGTGGTCGCTTTTGTTCACCTGGAATTAATTCACCCAGGTGAACAGATGCGACTTTTTTCATTGAATTTGTTCAAGTGGATTTTTAACACTCGCATTGGTTACTTACGCATAATTGACTAAATTATTCGACTAATGCGAGCAGGTTATAAGTTTAGCAAATTAGCGTGTGAACTTTTAATTATTTTGTGAATTTTAGTTTAAATCGCATAATTTTCTTGATAATATTATTGAAAGGGTTTAGGAAAGGGTCAAAAAAAGGGTTAATGATGACTATGGAAGAAGTGCAGTCCAACAAAATAATATAAAAAACAGCTGTGAATATTAAAAAAATGTGCTACACTTTAGAAGTAGTGAGAAGTAGTCTATGGTTCAAAATTGCAGAATCGTCACGAAATCGCGACTTGTACACTGATGGGAAAGAAAATAATAGATATTTAGTTTTTATTTGTGTTTCGTTGGATTGTTTTTGTTATTCTTGTGATACTGTGACAAGATTTATGTGGAGGAATACGAAGATATTGTGTATAATAGTGGTGTAAGCAATATGTGCACAGTGTTGATTACGAATGACATCTGCTAACAAAAGGAAAACAGTAGCTCTAGGACGAACATAGTCATATTTCAGGTAAACAAATTGATGATAACGTTAAGAATTTATTAATTACTTGTTACGATGATGGTTTTTAATGGGTATTTACGCGTCATCAACAAAAGCACTGCCCTTCACTAGCACAGGTACCCAAACAAGAAAATGTCAAGATGTGTGACCTCCAATTTACTTGTTCCGTGATTGTTTTGTGGCTTTGATCTAGTTCTTGGATTATAATATTACAAATAAACGATACAATTGCGAACCCTCGCTATAAATGTTCTATTTAGCATGTAGGTGAAGTGAAATGGTGATTGAACATCTTAATTGCTACTGTGTATGAGATGCCTATTGAGAAACCAATTGCTCCACAAATTAAGATGAGCATATTGATACAGACATAGCTTGTGCTCTTCTGATAACAAATTCTTTATTTGTATTCCTGTTATCTCAAAATGTTTTATGCTATAAATCAAGTTTAAGATTGTACATATGTACTGAAATTTTAAGCATATACCTACTTTGAATGTAATATTACAAAACATTCACTCAGTACTATGTCATAATATGAAGTGAATTTCTATGGACTTTAACAGATAGTGCATGTTGTTGTCAAGGTAATAACGTGGGAATATAAAAATAATTCAAAATCTTTGGTTGCTTTTTGTAATATACTGAGAAATAGAAAGTATTAAACCTATTTACCTATTTTGAACTGTTTATTTATGTAATAAGCAGTCTATTAAAGAAATAAAATGTAGAAATACACCTTGACACCATGTCATAATATGTGGGACATTATGCATTTAAATTGCAAATGAATCTGAAGAATTTGTTTTCTGTTAACAATACAAAAATATAAAAAATAAGATATCTTGACCTTAGCTAAAAGACCTTGTCTCTTATAGCTAAGTGGGACATACTATACATGAGATTAGGCTTCATACCATAAATTTTGAGCTGGGTGTACGTGCCTATATGTGATTAATGTTGTTTTAAAACATTCCTGTTTACAATTTCCCTGCCTAGCCAATTAATTGGTTATATTATATTGTTGCTAAGTCTTTGAAAAAAAAATAAGAGTTGCACACCGTTGCATTTATTAATTAGTCTCTTGCACACTGCTTCTCATCTGAAATAATTTTAAATTCATGACCATACTGTTAATTAATAAATTTTTGTAAAAATAATTGGGCCTAGATCTAAACATAAAATTGCTATTTGTCTTAAAATAAAAGTTTAATTGATTACAATTTAGCAAAACGCTGGCTCTTCTTTATTGCTTGTGAAAGCCAACACTTAATTACACAATAGTTTGCTGTGTAATTAGATGAGTAAGATGTTTTCTAAATAACTCCTATTCAAACAAATAACATTTGGGTGTGATACAGTAATATTTCTACATTAGTTACACAATGTGTCTATTGAATTCTATTGTTTTGACGCTTGACTGCCTTCAGAAATGCACTTCAGGCCCATTGACTTTTGAAATATTAATTGTGATAGTAATAGTGATTTACTTTAAGAATTTTATAAAAATAATGCCAAGTGAATTGATGTATTAATATTGTTCTTAAATCTCAAGGCAGCTAGAGCTAATCCATTATACAAAACTTATAATTGCTAAAGAAAAAGTCGTATTATTGCATCACATGTATTAAGTTGGAGTGTTTCATTATTTTCAGATTATATTAATATTCATTAGCAAGTAAGCACCTTTAGAAATTAAATTAAAAATTATGTTGATTATTAATTTAATTTGTAAAATCGTTACACATGTTTATTTATGGTTTCTTGTTTCGTTGTTTTTATACTTGAAATAGGTAATAAATTTAATTTTTGTTCTAGAATGAATTCGACGGACACCGTCACTTTGGCGCCACAGCCGATTTCTGAAGTGGTGCACAAAATTTTCGAACGCTCACAGGAGCCATTCCTGCAGACCCTAGCTGCCCAGGTCATCGCAGGAATATTTGTATGGACAGCCCTCTTCATTACTTGCCAACAGGTGGGTGCAAAATTAGTTTGTTGATATTTTTGCTCATGTTGCTTATCATTAATATCATTGTGTAATTCCGAATTTACTCCTCTGGTGTTTGGGTGGCCATTTCACTCCAAATTGCAAAGGAAAAAAAGTTTAAAATTGAATTATTTTTAATAGTTTGGAAGTCAATATAACGTAAAAATAACTTTGGTATATTTTCTTTCGAGATGCACAATGAACTGACAATCGACAGTCAAATATCGACATGCGCAAAAACGACATTATATTATTTCCTTGTCAAGTTTATAAAACTTTTTGAATTCCTACATGATGTTATTACCTACAGGCTACAGCATACTTATTTCTGTATTTAGAAGCAGCAAAACTGGTTATGAAAATGGTTTTATAATTAATACTTGTGTAATTTATAATTGTTATTGAAAAGCAGATTTAATTAAATGAATTCAGACCATTTTGTGCGAATCTAAATCAGCCGTCCACGACATTACCACTCCAGTGGTGTCAAGGTTACTACTAGGCAGTTAGTTAGTCCGATATTTGGGAAAATAGGCCTTTTAATGCACATTTATTTAAAGCACATAATATTCGTGTCGTAACGGCAGCGTTGATACAATACGTTATTGAAAGGACGATACGTATTTGAGTCGTTTTTCCATGTTTCATTGACCGTGCGTCATTATCGCAAGGCTTGAGCTTTAAGCGCTAATTTTAAAGTAACAGTCAGCACGAAAACCTGTTTGCAATTAGCACAAACAGATATTTCATTTCCAAGAAAAAATCCACCTTCCATCTGACAACCCTATTTAGACTGCCGGGTTTTTCTGCCTGTTTTCACATTCACTCATAGTAGAAAGAAAGTGTAGGTGCGTATCTTTCCGTTGCTTGTCGCTGTTTACGTCGAGTTAATAAACTACGCCTACGGTCGAATCGATACTAAGTTGATACTAGAGAACGCACATTCAGGGTGCGACCAGGTAGCAACGAGCCATCTTATTACGTTTACCCGCCTGGTAACGTTATTTATTATTTATTAATAACGTTACTCTGCAAATTACATGAGCCAATGACCGTTCATGTTATTCGATATTCTCTACAGGGAGTGTACGTAGGGTTGTTGAAGACTATAATTGAGACTGGAGTCTGGAGAAACGTGTCGACGATTATGACGTCAATATCAGAATTGTCCAAGAATATTGGAGATATTATTTCTAGATGAAGACTGTATGTACTCTATAGAGTTCATATGTTGTTTTGCGATACCAATAAATTATTTTATCAAACGAATATTAACTTTATTCTCTTATAAAAATTATGTATGGACGACAGCACATCATGCTAAACACAGTGGAATCTTATCTCGAAGTAATACAGGCTGTTTTGCAACAAAAATTTAGTCTGAAGTGCTATCGACTGTACATTTGGAGTAAACAAATAGCACTTTTGTCACAGTTCTCTCACATTTTGGCATACGTCATCAGTTCGAGTCCGCCTTGTGGCAAGCATGAATGAGTAATGAACACGTCATGGTCATCCTCATCAAGGATTTGCGAACTCACGAATCGCCTTTACGAAACATTCGACCATGAGATTGATTCTGGTTTGCTAGTTTATTTATTAAGACATTTTTTTTAATTGGTTTACTATTTTTAATCGAAATAAAATTCGAAATCATTATTTTAAATCCAGCAATACTTATTGTCTCTTAACTCTTTGACCAATACAAAATATCCCTCTTTATTTTATGCATTGCTTGAATACTTGAATATTTGTAGAGGATAAACTCTGAAATTCCTGTAAGTATTTTGCGAGAATATTTCTGTAATAACATTAATTATTTCAGTCTATCCCTAAAAATGCGAACAGAAAGACCTTTCTTTGGGGAAAAATTGAATAATTAGTTGATTTCCCCGCCATGCTATTACCACATATTTGTATTAGGTAGGTATTAACAGGAAATTCCGTGACGTTCAAATTAACGTTACAAATTAACGTTGAGGAAACTACTCAACTGTACTCGCACACTACGCCCGTATTCAGAAACATTACTATGAGGTCTCACAATGCGCGTGGACGCACAGGGTGACACAAGAACAAATCACAGAGCTCTATTATCTTATTAAGCAAGCATCGTTTGTGAATACGGGCGTCATTCCGTTGCGCCAATTTGACATTTTACATGTCTCGATGTGTCGACTTCTTTACAAATTAGAAACTTGCTTTTACAGTTTCGCCGAGTAAGTGGGCATATCTGATTGTCCACAACTTTCTTCGCACGTTTGCAGTGTAATATGATATTTTAGATAGGTTGGCTGGTTTGGATAAACCTAACCACGTTCGTCATGCATTGCATACTTACACGGTGTCGTGTCGGTGTAAAGTTTCAAGACTTATCTGGCGATAAGAATTTTATAATGCACTTCTAGAATGCGCTTCATAGAGTAGAGATAATAATATGCACATGCCCATATTTTAGTAACAGCTATTGAATACTACTGCGCACCAAAGACTATAAAATTAATATGAAACTAGGTCGACCTATTTTTAATGAACAGCTGAGCTTTTACTCATCCCAAGTTCCAGTCAAAATAAACCCACTTTTTACCACATTAAATTAGAAGTATAATTATTTAGGCTATTCTCATAATTTTTCGTCGTTTTCAGGGTTCTCATGACGAAAATATTGCAGTAGTTGTTTTATTTCCATTAATGATTATTATGACCAATTGTTACCGATTACAAAAATTAATTACGTAATAATAATTAATTAATTCAAATGTATGCAAAATGCAAATTATAGTTTCGCATATAGCGCGGTGTAGTCGTAAATTCAGCGCGGTGTTATTAGTAATTCTTTTGTTTCTTTATCAGCGCCGCGTTATCGCCACTTGTAGGCCATTCCAGTTTTGTTTGTTTGTACCGTCATTTCGAAAAGTCAAACGAATCGCCACGATAACCTTACGAGAAAGTAAAGACATCCTAAAACCACGTTAGGTGCCACGCGTGACACAAGCATGGCGTTTGATGTACTTACTTACTTTGGTAGAATGGCAGACTATAAATCATATAAGAACAGAAAAAGTTCGTACTTTTATTAGTGCAAATCTGATTACACATCGCTGGGTGACCGCTGACCATGTGAATTGAAAATATCATATCCGATATCACTAGAAACCGAATTTCAGGCGAACTTTACTCCATTCAAAAATATCCCTAGTATGGGATCCCCTGGCAACATTTTAGAGCGTAGATAACAGGTGAGATCAAGGCAGTGTGCACCGTGGTCATCAACATGGAAATACAAAAGGATAATCCAAATACAAAAATAACTATGCGATCATTTACTACATCATGTAGGTGTAGGCAGGCATTAGGTGAAGACTTGGGGCCTTCCTTACTGTATCGCATGATTGAGTCATCCATCATCAATGTTTTATGATCAATTAATCAAAAATTAGCAACAGAAACAAGACATGGTTAGGTAATTCAGCAAATAAACACGCAATAATTTGCTTTTGATTTGATAGGTGCTAATTATGATCTATATGTTTAATTAAGTTAGAGAAAATGCATTTTTAATTGTATGTTTACAAACTTCAAGGTGTCTTCTTCTTTGGAAATTGAAAAAGAATTTCTATATTCTATCAGACGCAGTATTGTCAAATTATAAAGATTTAACCATTTATCAATATGTTTATTAAAGAAATACTTATCGCATTTTCACCTGCTACAAATATGTGACTAATCACACCTAGTCTACGTAAAGATAACGGAATCACTAGAAATATTGCGTCACGCTCATTTCCACGCAATGCTCTTGATATACGACTTGTTTGACGGACTTCCATAGTTGGATTTCCATTCTGTTCGTATTCCTTATAAATGCGATAGTAAGTCTTATTACATTTCGCGCCATATGCCGCTGAAACACTTTTGAAAAATTTTGGCATAGTAGATATGGATGGGAGTGGCATTGCGATGCTGTGTCTCGTTTTTTGGCAACTATGGTTTCTTTATATTCTATTTTTTATAACAATGCCTGCCTTCTAAAGTAGCCTACAGTGGTCCTTCGTTAAGAGAATAAGTTCCACATTAAAAACTGACCGACGGCAATCGACGTTCTTAGAACCAATTGTTATGTTTTCTAATTAAATAGAACAGAACTCGTTGTGAATACAAATTGATTATTACAATACACTTCGTACTGTAGTATGAGTATTGTTTTGTACTCGAAGCACTCCAACATCTGGAACAAGGAAAAACACGCATCTTTGACCTTTTATTTATAGACCATTGCTTAATTTTTATTATTGTACCAGGGTTTTTGTATGTACCACCGAAATCCTTGCTATGTAACTGTATTATGTGGAGATTGTAGAGTTTACTCTTCTCTCAGAATCTTCTACGGGGTACAGGTTGCTGTACAATCAAAATAAATGTTTGCTGAAATTGACACTTAATAAACCCATTAATCAACTATTATGATGACAGTAAGTTTTGCCAGTAGCAGGTTCAACGATAATATAATTATGTGTGATCTAGAAACCTAGAAGATAAATAAAAATGATGAATAGAATCGTATACGATATTTCCGCTTTCGTAAGCGAATTGTAATTCATATTCAAAAATATGTCTATAATTTTATGCCTGGATTGTTAATGAACGTAGAAAAAAACAAATAGTGGCCATTTGCTAATCGTAAAGAAAACCTAGTACCTACTTACTGATGTGGTTAAGCAGATTACATAGCCAGTCTTACTATGTTATTGTAAGATTTCAGAAAAAACTTACGCAGTTCACATAAGAGCCAGAAAATTCGCATATTGCAAGAACCCAGTAACCGATTGCCGTAATTACGTGAACTAAACAGTTTTAATTTCCAAATAGTGTGAAAAGGTGTTATGTTATGCATCGTTCTCTATGGCCGGTGACTCGTTGCTAAGTGCCTTACGTATTGTGCATTCATTGAAAACGGGGCTATTCGTAGAGACGATATCAGCTCTTTACTTCTATTTATCTCTTTCACCCATACTGAAATCTAGCATGAGAAAGCGTGACCATCATAGTTAAGAATACTAATATGACGACAGAGTAAGTCCTGGCCATTTGCAAAAAAATGTAATTATAATTAGTTTGCCATTTTAGGATAATGAGCACGTGTCTACGTGTTCCACTCTCATATAGCTGACTGATGGCCCTTGACTTAAGTTGTCTTGCATAACGAATGAGGTTTCAACACACGAGAGTGTAGTGAGAATATTATCTTACTTCAGTGGTTACTGAGACCATCTTTAGAAACATTTGCCCGCAATTTGTATTTATTGTCTCTGTCCATTGCGATTGACGTCCGTATTTCCAAATATTACTGTGAGGTCTCACAGTGCGCGTAGACGCACAGGGTGACACACGAACCAATCACAGAGCTCTATTCAACGCTGTGCGTTCGATTTGCTGCTTCACTTAACCGATTGAGTCCCAGACGGCATTAATTAATGTCATAACAATTGATTATCTATTGTGTCTAGATTCGCGGAGCTTGAAGGATTAAGCAAGCGAGTGTTTGTGAATACGGGCGTGAGTTTTCGTTTCCAATATTTATTTGCCATGGTTCGGAGTAGGTACTTGTGATCTAAATGAAGGGCATCGGACCGTAAATCAGGCAGCAATTTGAAACCATTCGACCCGATTCGAAGCGTCTTTCTCAGCATTTACGAGTTACTATTTCGGAAGACAATGGAGTTCTCTGACCTTAATTTTGATTACAGTAGTACAACCTCATTCAAGATGCGAGTGTTTCAATGGAATAGGATTTTCATCCTAATATAGTTTATGTCGATGATAATAACTTTATTGTTATCGACATTGAAGTAATAATGTTTAATTGTTAGCATGTTTCGACGAAGCCTGTTTTAAATAAGTACGTATTCCATTTTATGATTCCGTAAACTTTACAAAATACTGAACTCTACAAAACAACGTACTAAGGCTCCACTCCACAAGTGTCTGTCGCAGTCAGTTTTCTCAGAAATTTCTTGATGGGTAGACTTCAAATTCATTACAGGGAAGTCCTTAGGTGTCCCAACAATGCTAAAACTTGTGTTAAAAGATTCAGCACCTAATTAACTTTTTTCGATACCTGTTGGCTTCTTCGATACGATAGGAAATGAGGGTGATTACTATGTACGAAATCGTGTTTCGCGATGAAAATATTAGGAAACCTCCTTATCCTATAACAAAACTAATTACTGTAGAACTGGGGCATATCGGGAAAACTCAATTATAATAAATAGAATAAAATTCATCTGTCGGTTTGAATATTAATGAAAATTGAGAACATTCGGGTCTCAAAATGTGACATTTATTATGTAAATCCCATTTTTAATAAGTAATGGGAGGTTGAGCTACTTGCGCACCTCGCTAGAATGCGACTCTCCCTCCCGCTTAGTGTTCGCCCCGTCCGTACCTACAGTCAGCGTCAAATAATTCGTGATACTCAAAGTAGGCAAAAAGTTCGCAACACGTCTTTGTGTGTGTCTTTGTTCGTTGTGTTGACAACTTTTTTGCCACATTAGGTATCACGAATTATTTGACGCTGCCTGTACCAGAGCGTCGAAGTGACGTCACGGCCGCCACGTGCACAGTTAACTCAACCGGGTTGTAGTTTCAATTTGTAATTCTAAAATGTTCTGATTCAGATCTACCAGCACCTGCGCTGGTACACGAACCCGTCGGAGCAGCGCTGGATCGTGCGCATCCTGTTCATCGTGCCCATCTATGGATGCTACAGCTGGATATCGCTGCTGTTCTTCAACAGCGACTCGTACTACATCTACTTCTTCACCGTCAGGGATTGTTATGAAGGTAAGGAATAGTTAGTCTTTAAATGCTCGGGACTATTCTCACCTCTTTCCCACAGCTGCAACTCCTGCGTAGCCAAGATCTATAGCTTGACCGCCAACCAGTGAAGGTCAAGTTTGTCCCGGGGGAAAGTTTAACTGTCATAGGACCCGCAACGAAATAATCAGAAGATTAGTCTTTAAATAGAGATATAAAATAATACGGCGTGTAGGACGTGTGGGTGGGATGTTTCAAAGAAAAGGAACGTTTTCTTTAATGATATACATAATGATCTATCAGCGCCGATGATCAGCGAGCGGTCAGCGATTCCAAAACCAGCCTTAGACGAGCTGATTGATGGTCAGTGGAAGCTTAGTGACGCCCTTGGCACCTTGCATCGAAGAGTTAATTTTAAAAAGTGCAACTTTGAACACTTTTTTTTAAAGCTAAAAAAACTATCAAGATAATTATTAATGCTGAGTTCTGCAGTTCATTCATATTAGATACAGCTTGATTTCTACGACAGATGCTACCATTCACACATATTTCAAGTAAACGCATTGTTAGCGTATGACATAGCATAATTGATTTGCTTCACGATGGTTATTGGTGATGGATGGTAGTGCTTTATTCAATTTTCTATAGACAATGCATACTTAGGGGAGACTGAGGTGAGTTGTAACCGAGGAGAGTTGTAACATTGTCGATTTTTGGGAATCCATTAACTATCAGCGAGCTCGCAACACCGCGCATTTGGTAGCTCAAGACTTGAACTAAAACGCCCACTGTTTGAGCTGGCTAGTACTTAATAAGATCCACATACAATGTCACAACTCTCCTCTGTTACAAATCACCTTGGTCTCCCCTACTAAAATTGTTTGCCATTGCTGTAAATTGCGTTAAAAATGTAAGAGATTTGCTTACACGAAAAAGTTACAGTTATAAAGTTACTGTTTACATACATGTCACTTATTTCCCTAAAATATAGATCACTATACTTTCACTTTAATACTATTTGTGTCCATTGCTAACTAGTCTGAATTAATAATGTAAAGATATTATAGCCTCAGACAGAATCGAAACAGGTCGGTCAATAGCCGAGTATTTTTGTAAGGTCGAATTCGGATTATGATTAATAAATTTGTATTCTTACAAATTATTTAATTGTTACAGTTTCCGTTATTTCGATACATTTTATGCATTTTTATAATGAAGTAATTGAAAATTACTACGGATGATTGGTAATAAATTAATTAATGTATATTGAAAACCGATTTTCTTAATTTCGAAAGTGTAAAAATCCGTTTTAATTATGTGTGTAAATATTTTTTTATTGTACAGTCAGCGTCAAATAGTTCGTGACACCCAAAGTAGCCAAAAAGTCCGCAACACGTCTTTATTACTATGGAAATAAGGTTGTGTTGTCAACTTTTTGTCACTTTGGGTGTCACGAACTGTAACGCTCACTGTATGCACAAGTCTCAAACTAAAATTTCGTTAAAAATGTTCGAAATAACTAACAAAAAGACTCGCTGTCTTATCTTGTCGCTTGTTAGCATTTAAAATACCGACTAATTAGATAAAAGCGTGATGAAAACAACGAAATCGGCGCTTATTGTCACCTATAGTTTTTTAACGCGGATCGCAGAACACTCACAATTAGGTTGGGTGGCCATTAGCCTAAATAAGTTCCCGTGCCACTGACTCACCGTGGTAACTGTGGTTCAATGACATAACCGCCCTTTGCGAATTGTCAGTTTGCCACTGTTTAGATTAGATAACCATTGTTAAACAAGGTCTATGTTGTTTGTTTTATATGCTAATTATTTATCTCTAAAACAACACACCATTCCTATACTTATGTGGTTAGCGCGTCGCGTCCCTTTTTGACAAGAATTAGTCAGTAAATATCTACATATTGCTTCATGTAAATATCTCCTTCATAAGTTGTAGCAGTCAGTTGTTTAACCTTGGTAAAATAACAAAATGCAAATCCAATTTTTATCACTGTCACTTGTATGAATATGAATACTTACTGCTATAGGTCTAGATAGCTTTAAATTAATAGGTCGAGTTATGCGCTAGTTAGTCAGTGCCTGAGATATGGGAGCGGCACGGGAGGGTTGTTTTGTGACGGTTAAACGTCAGCGAGACTTCATATAGTTCCAAAATACTGGTCTGTCCTGTCGATGACATTGACAGTGGGGCGCCACCGTCAATACCGGATCGCTGGTTCAGATTTTTGCCATGTTGGAAACCATATAGTTGAACGATGGTAGCGCCCCCCTGTCATTGAGTTTGGCGGGACAGTTCAGCGTGGGTCATTTATATTTGTATGCTCTGTCACGTCATATTTATGTCAAAATCACCTCTCCCGTGCCGCTGCCATACCTCAAGTACTGTCTCAGTTAAGCAATAAATCTACATATAATACTACATTTTGTTCCGCAGCATTCGTGATCTACAGTTTCCTGTCGCTATGCTACGAGTACCTCGGCGGCGAAGGAAACATAATGTCGGAGCTCCGCGGGCGGCCGGTGCGCGCGTCTTGCATGAACGGCACCTGCTGCCTCTCAGGCGCCACCTACACCATCGGCTTCCTGCGCTTCTGCAAGCAGGCCACGCTGCAGTTCTGTCTGATCAAGCCACTGTGCGCATTCATCATTATATTCCTCCAGGTATGTAGCAAAAGGATGAAAGGTGAGATGCTAGATGAGTGTATTTTCAAATGTACACGTGCTGCCTCTCAGGCGCCACCTACAAAATCGGCTTCCTGCGCTTCTGCAAGCAGGCCACGCTGCAGTTCTGCCTGATCAAACCTTTGTGCGCTTTCATCATTATATTCCTCCAGGTATGTAGCAAAAGAATGAGAGGTGAAATGCCAGATGTGTGAGTTCTAAAATAGGCATGTGCTGCCTCTCAGGCGCCACCTACACCATCGGCTTCCTGCGCTCTGCAAACATGCCACGCTGCAGTTCTGCCTGATCAAACCTTTGCGCACAAAGGTTTGATCATTATTCCTGCAGGTAAGCAGCAAAGATGTCTGTTGTTCACAAATGGACAGGTGTCTAATGTTTCACGGCTGCCTGGGACGTTGCAATTGTGATATTTCTACTAGGTGCGCAGCAGCTATAAGATTGAACAAAGGTGGCAATGTTAGCTAAGAATAAGGCGATCTGCTATAGCCAATTGCTTCTTGTGGCGCAGATTCCAAATGAAACACTATTAGTATTAAGCCATTTACGTCCATGGGGGCTTACCTGATACTAAGTATAACCCGCACAATGGACGATAGAACGATGCTATGTGTTATCAAAATAGGCCATCGCCCCTAATAGACAATATGTTACCCATACTAACATCACATTGTTGTAAGTATATTAATCGTTGGCCTTCATTATAGTCGAATTAGTTCTCATGGTATTAATTTTATCAACCACTTGGGTTATCTTATCTAATATTATTCGCGTTATCTGCAGCTTATTCATACGTAAAATAATACAAGTCTATCAACTATTTTAAAGAATCTCATTTATTTCTAGATCCTTTTGATAAAAAGAAAATAAATTTAAAATCATGAATTATGTTTAGCTTTTCTCATTTTCTTCAAATAAAACAAGAGCTAGACTTGAGTTAACCAATATTTTAATTCTTTTGTTTTCAGCTTAGTACTTTTGTTATTTTATTTACTTTACATTGTCTATGTGACCTCTACCGTCAATTTGAACAGCTGTTCGATTCTCGCATATCGAGACGTGACGTCCAAGCTATAGTTATTGAAATAATAGTATAATGGGTATTTTTATGGAGCAATTATAAAACTTATTGCAGCATAATTTTAATCTCTCTCACTCTCCACTTCAGGCCAGTCTAGCAGATGACTATGACCTTCGTCACATTAAAAAATATTTAGGCTGAGTGGCATCACCTAAGTTTGACTGTAACTATAACGATAACCAGTGTTTTTTGTATGTAGTTTGACATATTTTTGACATTTGTTTAAGTCAAAGTAAGACGGTGCAACCCAGCCCTACCTATTATTAATATTTATACCCAGTAAAATACATTATACCTGAAAGGGTCTATCCATTTATGATGTTTGTGCTTACCATGAGTTTTCATTAGGTGTGCTCGCTAGCGACTGTGGAAATAATTACATGAAATGTGTGACAGATTGTAAACGCCCTTAGCGATGACTTTGAAGCACTAAAATCTTCATACATTATTTTGACACACTCGCTAGCGATGTCTTTCATGTACACTTATGGTAAAACTACTTGTTTTCCGTTGTTGGAAGTCCCTCGCTGCCATTATTGCAGTGTTGTTCATCGCCTTTTCAACTTAAGGCCGGGTATCAGAGAAAATGGCGAAAATGAGGTTTTCATTTTTCATTTTTGAGGTACTAAACAGTAAAATAAAAGGCTAAGATTTTTTTTGGGCATAGTTGAGGATATTTTCTAGGGCTATTAACGGATGGAAACACGATTTGATGAAGTTGACTCGATAGAATAAATTCCCAAAGTTACCTCTATTCGTTTTCTAATTATGGTTTTATTTTTAAAATAAGCGATTTGAGATTCTGAATCTTTTACTAAACTAAAGTTCAGAAATAACTTGAGGGCTTTTAACGGATGAAATTTTTATATTGCGTCTTATTTAGTTACTATGTTAAAAAATGTGGAAAAAATCGCCCATGACGGCTTGGACAATCTCAATCAGTCGCGCGGTGGCGCTTACGGAGGACGGACGCGTGCCAGTTTTTTGGCCATAGAAAGAAAACACCCAGACCAATACAAACAAATATGTTTCTGCAATTTTAGTATGATATTTTTATTTATTAATAAACAAAGAGACTGAACAAAATTGATGCGTACCTATACTGATTAATGTTATTAACCAAATGCAAAGCTTCGTGAATTGCAACAACTATAATTAAATTTATTATCCAAGCTCTAAATAATCGCTACTAAGAGTAACTTATCATAAAAAAAATTCCAATCGCTCGACGTAATCTTGAAATTCTTAAGCCGGCGCAGAACTTCCAGAAGGTCGGGCGACGCCACGGCCACTTTGAACCGTGTTTACTTCTGCAGTTATATTTTATATTTATTCGATTCTAGAATATATTCCCAAAAAGTCTGAAAGGTGTTTTAATTTGTATCACTTGGATATGATTTCTATTAGAAAGTGTTGTGAGTGTGACGCTTGAAGGGAAGGAAGTCAACCTAACCTAACCAACTGCGTATTTCTATACTGTGTAGCTGGAAATTGTGACGGGAGCTCTTTGACGCGCTGTTTTCGGCGAAGAATTGCGCGCGCAGATTTTGACAGCGCGAAATACCTACTTTAGAAGAAATACCAAGCCTTAACATGAAGTGCGGGCGCTATCGGTAGCAAGTGAATAATTATCAAGCATTAATTGTTTGATAATACCAAATACATTACTGGCAAAACACTTTTAACAAGCGCAGTTTATAAACTTAGTTATTATTAACATGCAGGCTTTATCCGTATTTTTAGATTTTCCCTCTTTGCCACTCATAACGAGATGACTGTATGAGTAATAGCGACGGATACACGGAAACAATGTGAGGTAGTTGCCCCGCTGAGCAGGATATAATGTGCATGTTTTCTGACAGGTTCAACATACTGTTCTGACGACATCACATCAAACCTAACACTTCCTATTTTGTTGTACAGGCAGCGTCAAATAGTCCGTGACACCTACAGTAGCCAAAAAGTTCGTAACACGTCTTTGTTATAATTGGAATAAGGTTGTGTCAACTTTTTGGCCACTTTGGGTGTCACTATTTGACGCTGATAGATGCTATTTTGCAATAAAAGTGTATAGTCAGATGTGCTATCGACTGTACCACTTACCTTATGTGTAACACACAACCTATGATGATAATCCACTTAATTTTGTTTTATGTACCGCAGCGATAATTATTTGCAAAACGATTTTGTTTTATGTACCTACCGCACCGATAATTATTTGCTAATATAACGTATATCTGAAAAAACATCATGCCTATTCTAAGAAGTCTCTTCACAATGGATAACTACGGTATTCCCGAGAAAGTGGAGTTACTGTTTAGTTAGTAATTACACCCAACGAAGCTAACGTTCGTAACAATTTGAAAGGAAAGTTAACATTTTTTAAACATTTTTGTTCTATTATGCCATTGTTGTAACACACAATACTCAATGGTAGTGTTTGTCTCACGTAAATACTTTCAATGTATTATGATTCATGGATTTGTATAATCCGGTGACGCAGTCTTCAAGAAAATGTGTTTGGGTAAACAAATACGCCGTCAAAAATGGGTTCTCATTTGTAAACACAAGGAAGATACCTCCTCATTATCATCGTTGTATACTCTTAAAATGGTCTCCAAGAGCACGAGCTTTTCTAATTTACCAGAGGCAAATTGAGGATATGGCCTACATTTTCAGAGCTGGTCAGATGGGTTGGGGAGGAATAATGTTCACGTTTTTGTCCCTTAGTCGCCTCTTTCGACATCCTCGACATCGATTGACACCCGTATTCACAAACATTACTGTGAGGTCTCACAATGCGCGTGGACGCACAGGGTGACACATGAACCAATCACAGAGCTCTATTCAACGCTGTGCGCTCGATTTGCTGCTTCATTTAAGCAAGCATTGTTTGTGAATACGTCAGTGAGAGTATAATCCTATATCCTTCTATGCTAAAACCACATATTCTAGACCAGGATTTATATTTTACTAGCTTTCCGCCCGCGGCTTCGCCCGCGTGGAATTTTGTCTGTCACAGAAAAACTTTATCGCGCGCGTCCCTGTTTCAAAAACCGGGATAAAAACTATGTTCTTTCCCGGGACTCAAACTGTCTCTATGCCAAATTTCATCAAAATCGGTTGCGAGGTTTAAGCGGGAAAGCGTAACAGACAGACAGACAGACAGAGTTACTTTCGCATTTATAATATTATATAGTTGGGATTCAAATTCTTTTTTTCTCCAGTCCGCAGGCCACTACCACGATGGTGACTGGAGCCCCAACGGCGGTTACATCTACATCACGATCGTGTACAACTTCTCCGTGAGCTTGGCTTTATATGGGCTGTTCCTGTTCCTGGGAGCCACCAGGGAGATGCTCAAGCCCTTCGACCCGATGCTGAAGTTCTTCACCGTGAAAGCCGTGATCTTCCTCTCGTTCTGGCAAGGTACGTGTCTCTATATTGATCTAGATTAGCGGTTCCCGAATGGTGGTCCGCGGAACCCTGGGGTTCCGTGGAAAGGCCGCAAGGGTTCCGTAAAAAATATTATCCCACGTTTCGTGACCGACGTTGTTCGCTCGCACCGACTTGTTTACGCACAAGGGAGGGGCAGGGCGTGCGGGCGGAGTAGTACGGGGGTTCCGCTGGGAAAAGTATAATCAATTAGGGTTCCTTGGCAAAAAAAAAATGGGGAAACCCTGATCTAGATCACGGTCGTGACGACTTCTCCGTGAGCTTGGCTTTATACGGGCTGTTCCTGTTCCTGGGCGCCACCAGAGTGGTGCTCAAGCCCTTCGACCCGATGCTGAAGTTCTTCACCGTGAAAGCCGTGATCTTCTTCTCGTTCTGGCAAGGTACGTGTCTTGTTTTGATCTACATCACGGTCGTGACAACTTCTCCGTGAGCATGGGTTTTATGGTCCAAATCTAGTGTCTGATAGTTAACATATCAACTTACCACAAAATACGAGGGTGGATCGAAATATTCGCACAAACACATAAATACTTGAACTATTTTAATGTAACTGACCTCATTCGTATTGTTTGGTTGTCACATTGCACAGTGTTTCCTGAGACCTCAAAATTGGACATCCCCCTTTTTTTAAATAATTAGAAAGAGTTAAATATTACAAATGCAAGAGTAAAACTCCCGTGTTTCAATATCGCTTAGTTTTTAATTCAATTTTGAGGTCTCAGGAAACACTGTGTAAAATTATATCGCAATAGCATTCGTTCGTTCGTTTTCGATTTTCTTTTTATATGTTTTCTCTTAGCATAAGATTGAGGTTGATTGATGATGATGTCATACTAATATACCATATCCAATTCCAGGTGTAGGCCTCGCCATACTCGAGAAGGCGAACGTGATATCCCCGATAATGGACGCAAACGGCATTCCCACCACCGCCGGTACCGTGTCGGCGGGCTACCAGAACTTCCTCATCTGCATCGAGATGCTCGCAGCAGGCATAGCGCTACGCTATGCGTTCCCAGCCGCTGTGTATGCGCGCGCGCACCGCGACCCGCACCGCTCCGTCACCATGCAGTCTATCTCCAGCAGCCTTAAGGTACGCTTGCAGCTTCGTGACGTCACGCTACCCTTCCCCCGCCGTGACGTCAGTATGACACTACCGCGAAAATGCGATGCTAAATACAACACTGTAGGTTTGTTGTCGATGTTACGGTCAAAGTGATAAATGTGAAAATTATGAATAATCGCCGGTTATTATGAATAATTACCGCATGATTTGGTAAATGTGATTAATATGAGGTCATTTATGTGTGTATAAAACTAAATAGGCGGCTTAGGGGGGCCCAAGGCCCCCCCCCGCCGCACCTTAACCTATTTTTCACTTTAAATCAAAACATTATGTTATAGGCATCATGGAAAAGTAATATTATGCAANTATAAAACTAAATAGGCGGCTTAGGGGTGGCCCAAGGGCCACCCCCGCCGCACCTTAACCTATTTTTCACTTTAAATCAAAACATTATGTTATAGGCATCATGGAAAAGTAATATTATGCAAAAAACATTCCAAACTTATTATGCCAAATTATATTAATATATGATATGAAAACGTTCAAAAGTTTGGCTGTACAGGAGCATGTACACAAGATGTTGTTCTCTTTTATGAAATTTGTTAGTACTAAGGTTGAATTACTAAATAATCACTGTTAAATGTGATTAATTTATCACTTTTATCGCGACTGTCGGTAATTATTCATAATAACCGGTTATTATTAATAATTTTCAATTTATCACATTAACCGTAACATCGACACGAAAAGAAGGGTTAGTAGTAGTTTTGCACGATTTTCCTTCGCACGAATGACTCTTTTTTTTGAACTAGTATGCGATTACTAGTTCTCAAAGGGGTCGATTCGCACCCGTTTTTAATACTTTTAATACATCCGGGCGAAACGCCTACTAAAAAAAAATTATTGAAAGAGGATGTTTCGCACGTTCTTGCGAAGGAAAATTGTGCGAAACTACTACTAACCCGAAAAGAAGAATACTAATATCGATTTAGATGACTTTTAAGGGAGCATAAAATTTTGAGGCCGCGCCTCATGGCCCTCATGCAACTTTTAGAGCGGTTTTACACTATGTCCAATCCATGTCTGTCAAAATATGGATCTCGAAAACTAACTAGCTAACTTTTGTGCGTATAAAAAACTACCGTATCTACTGTATTTTGATGAATTCGGATGAGATGTAGTGCGAAACCGCTCTTCAGGGATTCTTAAAGCGTTTATAGTTTCATCTGATCCGTGTATTTAACTCGATTTGCTACTTAGCTTTTGGCTGCACATAATATGTTATATTATGCCTATCCAGATTCCACAGTTAGCTGCCTTCCAAATCAAATCCTAAAACTCATAAAACTCATTGATTTCTGTAAATAGGCTTTAAAAAAGCACTTTTACACGTCCCAGTATTAACCCTACCACCTACCTAGTTATGACATAGTCTGAAAAACTGATTTGTCTAATTCCAGGAGACAATGAACCCGAAGGACATAATGACGGATGCATTCCACAACTTCCACCCGCAGTACCAGCAATACACTCAGTACAGCTCCGGTGAGTAACTTAGCCGCTTGTTAGAACGCGCATGACATCTCATTCTCGCCTGTATCTGTTTTATTTGCGCACTCCGAAGTTAACCTTGTGGTTATAGCGTTAGTGTTCATGTTTGAAATGAGTTTGGGATTTCTCATCGCTCATTTGAGGGTTCATTTGAAAGTGACAGAAACTGGTACATCAAACCGAGAGTTTTTAAATATCAAGAGTATTTTTTGTTGACTTATGATTTTATTCATTTTCTTTTTTTTTTGTTTTTTTTTCTCAAGTTTCTTCTTCATTCTCGTGGTGACAAATTGTCTTTAAATCTTTACCAGTTATCAAAAAGTAATTTAATCGTATTGTCAAAGTTATTGCGGCTGGTAACACTGGAATAGTAAAAATAAAAAAGCAGTTATCAAAATTTTGATATTGCTCTCTGTTCTATTTGTAATCAACGTAATCAGAAAGAGACAGATAGATACTAAAAGTCACCGATGACAATTCGTTCTTCTAGGCATGAGTAAAAGCTTCAAAAATAGACGTAGGTTAGAGGTTGCAGCAGGGCTTCTCCGAAACGCTGCTTACGTAGTTTCGGGTCTATCTATCACCGTCGCTCATGCTGACATCTCGCTGTGCGTGAGAGGGATGGCAACATTCGAAACTTCAGATTACGTTTTTCAGAGTAGCCCCACAGATTTGAAGTGTAGGCTAGGCCTTATTTTGTTTTATTTTCTTTCAGATGTCACTTCTCACCTGCCTTATGAGAAACTATAAGCTCTGCCATAGCTGTGCTCTGCATGACGCGCATTGATGTCTGTTCGTTTACTATTGAATACCATTATCTAACGCCCGAGCATGGAAACATAACTAACTCGTGCATTTCTAAGGACTTACTGACTGCATTAAAAAATACCTCAAACAAACCTGAAAATACCCTTACCAGAAAAAAAACCAATTGCTGAATAGTAAATCAAATATTTTTCAATTTTATTTGAAAATTATTTCACTTATTAATAAATTGACTGAACAAAAAAATGCAAAATATCTTTAAAAAGGTCAAAAAGTCGTTATTTAACGAATAGTTGTTTTCGGTGCTCGGCTGCGGAACCGTTACATTTATGTGTTAAGGTGTTTTATTTTATTTTATGTAATTTATATAAAGGTACTTGACTAGTCCGAATGCATAACGAATTTACATAAAGATGTATGTATAACAACATTTAATGCGAATTGTGTTTTCCCTTGAATAATGCTTAAAATAAAATAGTAAATAATTAAAAATTCGGACTAATCATTGCCATGTCGTTAGTATTTTATTCTTACCTAGATGTCCCACGGTTCATGAGCGTATGTATAGAAGATTTTACTGAGATTTATGAATAAGTTTTTTTTATTTCTAAATAGACAATGAAGTAGGTAACAAGTGATGATAGTAGAATTCCTGCCGCAATTATTTTAACTTGACTATCAAAAACAGTTCAACGAGACGAATAAAGCATAACATTTTTATTTACTGAACGAACGAAATAAAAAAATGCATTTAATTCAGCACAAAGATTCTACATAAATCGTCAACTGTTTCAATATTTCTTGCATTTTGAGTTTTATCAGTATTCATTTAAAGTTTTATTTTAAATAGCTAAGGGTGATTAGTGTTTTGTAAGCGGTAAGTATTTTAGTCATTTTGTAGAAGATTGATCAGTTTTATTCGAAATTAACTAGTAGTTGATACTTCGGTAAAATTAAATGTATTATTTTTAAATGTGGTTTCTTCTGTCGCTATTTTCATTTTATTCCATTTTAGCTCTTATTAGTTTATAATCGTAATTTTAAAATACGTTTTGACCGAATAAGGTAAATGGAGATATAGTTAAAAACCGGAGTATTAACTAAACACATGTACTTAACGTAGTTGGATTTCTATACATACGCAAGAGTGAAAGATATTATTTTTGTATTGGTGACCGTATCCCAATCTAGGTGTAGCATATAAAGTTTTAGTACCTATGTAAATGTTTCGTTTTCTGTGATTTAATTTTCTTTTGTATATTTTTTTTGTTACATTTCTTATAAGCTAATGGATGAAATCCTCTTAGTTGGAGCTAGGCTTGTGTTAAAAGTTGCATAAGTGTAATTTTTAACATCAGGTATTTATGAGTTATTATTACATAAGCATTAAATACTCGCCTCAATGATTAACAACGTTATGCCAATTAGTTGCCAGACCAAAGAATGGCATTTTCGAATACTAAAACAGAATTTCCAAACAATATATTGGGGCGTTTATATTAACAATATTAAAGGGAAATAACAATTTAATACATGATTAAATATAAAAAATAACTGTTAAATATACATTTTAGTTTCCTTTTTATATCATAATATTAATTATATTTTTAAGATAATTATAAAATATAAAATACACCTACATTAACGAAATACTTTGTTTACCTGTTTTGATTAAGTTAAGTTGGAATAGCAATTTAAAATCCTAGAACCAATTAAATAGAAACATTGTACTTGGCCTCTCATTGATCAATAAACGAGTTTACTTATAATTTAACTACTTTTATTTTTGAGTTCAATAAGTAGGTTGGCTTCAAAGGCGACTGAAATTTTTCTTAGGTAAGTTCTAGAATGTGTGGAATGAACGCTTTTTATCTTTTCTTTGCTGGCATGTTTCATGTGTCATTATGTATTATCATAGTATGTTAGTGATAAGTAAGCACTGAAGTGATTTTATTTCTGCTATATTGGACACGGCGACAATTTGATATACATCAAAATCCAGGCGACTTCCGTATGCCTGGGATTACACAACACATTGATTGGGCACCTCTCATAAAGTTTTCAATACAGATCCTTCTGCAATCAAGATTTCATGAATGAAAAAAAATCTAACTACACAGTATCACTCATCCACACTAAAAGGTCGATTTAACAAGATTCGTCAAATAATAAGACAGATAAATGTCTGACGATTGGAATATTGTAGGCTCTAAATCGTTCAAATACGCACACAGAGCACCTTTACATACAACTACACAAGTCACAATACATTTATTACTCCAGTTTCTTGTGCGTCAGTTTATTTAAAATTATAATTATCGAATTATCTTTCATCGTAATCAAACTTCTTAGGTTAAACTTTAACTGACACACGAAAAACTGGAGTTGAAACGTATTCGATGCATTTCTTCAATCTACGATAAGCCTAACTGTGAACTAAAATATTAATCAACAACGCAGTACCGACGTTTAAAGGACGTAGCATAAGGATCGTAACCGTATCAACTCGAGGCGGTCAGTAGATATTCTGACCGTCCAGTGCGGATCCGCTCCACAAAGCCGATCTGTATAAACTTCTAGGGAGCGTTTTAGAGTAATGCGGTCCGCAGGAACTGCTCGCTCTCTAAGCAGTTCATACAGATCGGCTGCGCGGAGAGATCCGCACTGACGGTTCGCGTGACACTAATGAATCCAGCCTGAAACTCCATACTGCAACGCACACTTATCCGCACCGTAACGTAAACGCCTCGCCTCGCGATTGACAGCACGCGAAATGTTGATAAGTCTGCTATGACCTTTAGTCCACAGTTAGGCAAATCATAGATTAAAAACACTAGTGCGAGGACCATAGACTCACACCCTCTTTCGACCTAGTGATGCGAGCGGGGGCAGGGACGGGGAAGCGGGCGGAGGAGGGCACAGCCCTAGCGCCGCGCCCGCCGCCGCAGCGAGTCGCCACCATCAGCCAAGCCACCAACTACCATGAGAAGACCACGCTGCTCAGCTCTGATGACGAGTTCCAGTGAAGATCAGGTTATTCAGCAGAGCTAGACTTCAGTTTGCGTTGAGCGTAAGGCAAATGAGGTCCTTATTACGTTGAGGTTAAGGTGCTTTTTTCGGTTGAGTTATCGTCGGTGCGCTTACAATAAAACGATGAGACTACTTACTCGTGAAAAAAATATTTCAAGTCGAACTTGAATCTGTTCTTGAGTTTTGAGCTTCATCATGCATCGTCAATACCTTCTAAATGACATAGGACTTAACCGTCGATATAATACCATTAATGCACCTTATTCTCAAGAGATATGAAATATGAACTTCATTTGTAAAAAACTTGCAATGCGTCGTCTACCTTATCTGCATCAGAACTTACGCTCAGCCTCGTGCCAGTAAATTGACATTAAAATCATTAAAACAACAACCAAGAGGAATCGTTGATTGGTATTTTAATCTAATTAAATAAAACTCAAAGGTGACTGACTGACTGACATAGTGAACTATCAACGCACAGCCCCAACCACTGGACGGATCGGGCTGAAATTTGGCATGCAGGTAGATGTTATGACGTAGGCATCCGCTAAGAAAGGATTTTACGAAACTCAACCCCTAAGGGGGTAAAACGGGATCCACGCGTACGAAGTCGCAAAACAGTTCCAATGTCAATTTACTGGCTCAAACTGGAGTTTAGGTTTCCATGTCGTTTTCGCCTTGCAATATTGTGATTTCCATAAAACAGCTGATGGATATTTGACTCCATTTTCAATTGAATTCATAGGTTGTCCGGAAGCTTTTGTCCCTTACCAACTACTCTATAGTAAGGCGGACGTGACACACTCATATTAGTATTGCATGGTTACAATTGCGTACGAGTTTTGTATGAGCCAGTGCATGCTTGGGCATCTGCAGTCTCATACTATCGCACGACTTACGTATACAATGGATTATGTGAGTATACCTACTTAAATTCTGGTTCTCGAATACTGTAGATGCTCCCTTGGTATTCAAATACTAATTATCAAAAAGTATCAAGAGAAAATACGGTAGTTGAGTTACGATGCGATATTATTTGAGTTTATGAATCCTAAGGGCACATCTTTAGTTTTTCAAAATGTAGCTAAGTTGTCGACCTCTTGAATGTAATATGTTAATTATCTGATTAATTTAGTTTTTATTATAATTATGTTGGCTATGTTATTGTTAATATAAGTGTCATGTTTTATGTTATTAATGTTAGTTAATTAATTTGTTGTTTTAAATAATTTTACATTGAAGACGTCAACGGCTGCGCTGTGATAAAAAATATCTCCAAAACTTAAACCACAATGTTTTCCGATATAATTTATTTACCAATAGTATCTAAATAACTATGTTGTAAAAATATAAAATATACTAGGTACCTAGTGAATTGCGAATGCAAGGTTCCTTTTTATGCCTCTACTGCGGTTTAGAATATAAATTATACTAAGATATACAGGATGGCCGAATAAAAAGTGACTTCTATTCATAAAATATAGAACGTCACTTGTTCGATCAACCTGTATATGTGGTAACCATAAATTTGAAGGTTTATTACGGTTATTCAGTTTATAAAAATACATTTTATGACAAATTGCCAATATCTGTAAAAATACCAAATCAAATCTTGCCTTTCGATGTGTAGTTTGACTATTTTAAAGCTAATGACCGAATGTTGAATGATTGGAAAATATGATTTCACCTGTTAATGTGACGTGACATTAATGTTTCTATACAAGCCGGTTGAACTAACGCGTACCTGGCGTCTGTGACGTCACATCGACGCTCTGGTACGAACGGGGAGATGTGCGGGTAAGTGGGAGGGGCATTCAGCTAGCTGCGCAGTTAGCTCTATCGGGTTGTAGACTATTTGCACAGTATATATATGAGCTAAAGCAGTACGGAAACTTAGCCCTTTCGGCGAGTTATATACCTACACTTCAACTGAGTGTTAGGGTTGGCACTCTTAATCTTTATAAAATAATAAGGTTCGTACTTACTTATTTATTAAAACGTTTATTTAGGTTTTTTAATTATCAAATACCTAATGGAATAAATTAATTGACTAAGTAGTTAACAAAAAAATAAAACGTTAATTAGGTTCTATAATGATCGATTACATAATCGAATAAATTGATTAAGTATTATTAGAGGCCGGTAGAAGATCTATTCTCATAAATAAAATACCGGATACTTACTTTCACATACCTATTGCCTCATTTTAAATACAGTTCATCACTTAGTACAAAAGCGTGCGGAGCAAATTACTTATCAAATAGAACACATAAATTGTTAATAAGCGTAATTACGTAATTTAAAAAGGACTATTACAAAATCAGATGTAAGCACTTTATTTAAAAAGTAAAATTTAATCATTTTTACAATTCAGAATTATTAAAAATGATAGTTCTGGTTTTGAAGATGCCGAGTTCAAGCAGCCGTATACTACGCAATACACTCGTGGCATGTTTTAAAAAATACAGCGGACAGTGCATGCAATAAAATTATTATTAAAAACACAACGCGCGCGACACTCGCGACGGATGGACTGCGAGGTTCGCTTAGAGCCCGTGTAAAGCGTGCGTCTGTGTGCGTGAGTCTGATTTCGAGCGTTTGTATGAAGCTTCCGTACTGTTTAATTTATCTACTGTGCTATTTGTCATCTTGTAACTAACCAAATTAATGTTATATCGCAGTAATAGGTGATAATATGAGGGCGAACTTTAGCAGAATACAGTGCAGAAAAGTTAAGTTCTATTAAGCTAATGAGCTCTGAATGTCGTAAGCATACAGTGAATATTTCAACTGCTTAATGCTATTTGACTTCTGCTCAGTTATTCTCTGCTATGTTACGTCATAAGAATAAATAATGATGGTAAAGAAAAAAAACTTTCACGCATTTCGGTCTGGATGATGATTCCTAAGTTTCACTTCTGTCGATAATAGTAAATAGGATCGAGTTGTTTTTCTATACCACCAATAGTTATTCTTATGGTTTTAATCTAATAAGCGGGCGCGTACAATTTTAGGGCTAGGAAAAAAGAATGAAACAACTAACGTTCATATTAGTGCAGACAAAATTACTAATATAGATATAATCTGCATGTTATATCACGATGACTTTGGCTCGGTTTTTAAGGATTGTATAGTTAGATATATAAATATAACATAAAAGAAAAATGACGGACAGTCAACAAAATGTACAGAAAAAGAGGAATTATCTATTAATTAATATATATCTAGTTTAACGTTACTATAATGTATTCAATGGCGACGTTCAGTTTAATGTGCAAGTAATTACTTTTTTTTATTATAGACATCTAAAGTTAGATTGTGATTGTATGTACCTTCTATTTATAACGTAAGAAATAGAACCTTACTTGAGTTAAAATATTCCAATAAAATACGACGTGAAATAGCAAGTGACAGCATAAACATTTACAAACGATTATTTATAAAATTTTAATTAAAAATTACTTACTTATTTTTCTCCATTGCACAAAGACACTGCCTAATCATTAAGACTTGAGTCGCACTAAATCAGTTGTAATTTGAACCATAATCTAGGTAATTTAAAGTTTAAAATTTTGAATCTTTCCTAAGATCAACGATTCAGTGTGTTCCTCAAGTGGATGACCAATTTGAAGCTGTTCACACGCATTTTTAGCCTACACAAGAAGCTTCGCAG